TAAGGTTTGTCTCAAACTGAGATAAATTCCTTTAAACGAGCTCGAGGGATTAGAAGATTAGGATTAGGCTCGAGAATTTTCTTATAGTTTTGATTGATACATCATAGCGTGCGCAGTTTCACTTCATCAGCAAAGTTCACAACGAGTTTAGCCGCGAGGTTTCAAAACTTTGAAGATTGTTTTCCCGCTTTTTCCCATTTGAGATACCCCTCTTGGAGCTCAAAATGAAAAGAAAATATGTCAGGCAGTACTCGATTTGAAAGCAATGAACATGTGGCTCTTTCAAGTGACGAACTTAGCTTTGGAGTTTACCTTATTCTAAAACGAAATTTGCGGGCTTAAAGTGAGGCTTTACGATGTCTTGAGCCTTTAAGAGGTTAGAGTTGTTCTTTTCCTTGGTTAACAAAGATTAACTCGGCTTGGCTGGAGCCTTATTGCTTATTGGTAATTTTCTGTAGGACAATATGTACAGATCCTGATAGTTTTCTGTACGCAGTACAAAATGTACATATTATATAGAATGCTTTATATTACAAATTGATCATTCGCATACGCTGTTTTAGAATTATCAATTTATTTTGAAAAAATTTTCATCGCTGATGGGTGATAAAAACTGCCTTAATTGAGAGCTCTTAGTTAGGAAATGATGAACGGAACTTTCCACAAATCAAAAGGCACTATTGCATTTTCGAACTTGGGAATGATTCAATGGGCCGGTAATTTAAACCAGAACCAGGCCAAACCACGGTTTTATACTAGCAGTGGGCCTCAGGTATTCTCTCTAGAATGTTGATTTGATTAAATAAATAAACTTCCATTGCTAGGTTTCGTCTCCTGGACGCTGTTCACAAATATAAATGGTTAGAAAAAGATTCAGCTTAATCGAAGACAGTGTAGAACACGGTTTTTACAATCAACGGCTAACCTTTGTTTAGATAACTGGTCCAAATTGTCCGAAATGCCAATTCAATCTCCTACACTCTCAGTGGTGTATAGGACCATAAAATGTGTGCCCCATCTCATCCTAATTTTCTTTGTTATCTTCTTTAGCTGTCTCCAGCTATATTTCCCAACTCGTCATCCACCATTTTTTCTTTCGTTGTTCTTAAGACGAGCGCGACATCTTAGAGCCACACATCTTTCTTTTCCTTGAAAACGTCCAACTTCCCATGAAGCTGGCTAGGGGCTGAAACTTTTAGGTGATCAGCAGGTGCTGCTAAAAATTCTAGGAATTTTGTGACCAAAACAAAATTAATGTGCATAATATATCACGTTGATTTGCAGAGGTATCTGCCACAGATTTTTGGAAATATGAGTCATACTATACTCCACGAAGCTAATAATTTGAACGCAAAAGATGAGCGATATATTTCTCAAGGAGTATATAACATGTTGTTTGGAACAGTAGAACTACTTACGATTTCCGCAGAGGAAGCTAAAATAACTGAGGACAGTGGCCTCTCGGCCGCTAACCGATCTCAGGTAAGTCGAAACGGATCAGACCAATTTTTCTTTTTCAGAGAGAAGCAGCGCTGCTATCACACCATAGAACGGTGGGAGCTGTCAGATGCTATCATTAGCGATGAAATGAGCTGTAGGGTTTCTTACTAAGTTCATAAAAAGCTTTTTTTTTATTTCATCTTCATTGCCACATTGATATATACGACTAAATAAAATTCTAACCCCAGATGGTATCTGACGATTTTCAAATTTGCTCACCTAGGAAAAAGAAATCGTCCTGAAATCAATCAGTATCATCAGACCTTGCTTAGGACTCTGACGACAAGATCAGCGGTTTTGGGTTTAGATTTCACGGCGGGTCGTGAGACCTCCTGTGGACTTGAGTCAAAAACTTTGAACGGGTTAGAAGGCCAGGGTTTTGTACTTCCACCTAATATGAAGAAGGTATTTGTTGAGATAGACTTAGATTCAATTGACTTTCAGGTGAGTTTTATCTTTAGATTGTGTTTTTCTTCGCTTTCCATCTCATTTCTTGTGCCTCCTACTTTTGGCTTCCACTCTATTCCTTTGTTCTCTTCACTCTCATGTCTGTCCCTTCTTACGTTTCTTTTCCTTCGCTATTCTTCCAATCCTTTCTTTTCGTCCGGCTGTTTCATTAGAAATCGATTTTTTTCCCTATCAGCTTATTCACACCAAGTTCAATCCATATCTGTGGCATGAAACTCACCAGGAAGTGAAGTTGAAATACTGAGCCTTGAGTTTAATGACGATAGTGGAAATGTATTACCTGTCGGTGGGGATGACATCGACATCGACATCAAAATACCTCTAGATTCTAGGAACGATTCTTTAAATAACTTTTTCATTAGACCACTATCAATGCGGTATCATATTATCGCGCTCGATGACGTTTCTGATTCTATCATCCTCGAAGTTAAACCAATCAACCTAAATTTAATGATGGTGGTGTATGTAAAACATGGAGGGCGTCCAACTTTGAACGACTTCGACTTTTACACTGTTATACCTGATTATTCTTCTTGTCATTATGATGCTCTCAATGGTAGTCTGGTCCTTAAATGTGTCACAAGTCCATACAAAGTCATGTCTACTGGAGATTTTAACCAGACGGGTCTATACTATGTTGGCG